CATTCTCATGTTTTTTTTTTTTTCTGTTATACAACGGTAGCCTACCGTCATTGCGTTTAATGCACAAATATGTTTACAAGTTTGCACAAGTTTGCTGCTGCACCAAAAATGTGCATCATTTATTTATTGTTTTGAAGTTAAGCAGGACAGGCTTTTGTTTAAGATACTTATTTTATTCAGCAAAGTTTGTTATTTTTTAATAAAGTGAATTGCTGGATAATGATTTGCTTTCCATGTGTTCATGTTACTCACAAATATGCATCTAATTCAATGCAGATTTAAGTCAAACAGAAAGAAACTAAATTGTGCACTGGCTTGTTTCATGTTTAGTTTTTTTCATGTGATCTCGTTCAAACCAGAAAATTCAACAAAACTTGGTTTTAGTCCTTCTTCATGATTTACGTCATTGGTCAAAGGATATTAACATTAGCCCACCTTGCTATCACAACTTCTCTCTTTTATCCAAAAAGGGGTGATTGAAACCATCAGGGAGTCAGGCAGTCATTGAGTGTTGCTGCTTGTGTTATCTTTTTTACCTATAGTGTACGAGATAAGGAAATTTTGGTAAATTAATTATGGCTAACTGCTAGGGTTGCCAACTCCATGAAAAAAAGGGGACACCTCATGTGCGTGCCAGCTGACCCGATTGCCTTTACCCCTCCTGGTGTGGTGATTTGTTTTTAGTGAAATGATTTCTTAATATGGAACGATTCCGTTTTTGAAGGGACGGTTGGCATCCCTACTAACTGCTAATGTTGCTACATCTACATGAAGCACATATAATCAGGTCAAGTTCTAACCTAGCAAGATTAAAAAAGGGGAATGAAAAGGTGTCTGAATGAACTCTAGGCCTATTTATTATTTTATTTTCTCCACAAAATGAATAAACACAAATTTATAGACAGATAAACTACATGTGTAAAAAAAGTGATGACTCCTTTAATCAGACTTTCGGTTAGGGCCTCAGTTTCCAAATTTGTGTTTAATGAATTTTCAATGTCTTATAAGATAACAGAGATAGCAATGTAGATTCTCACCAACTGGATGGAGCGTTTGGTTGAAATGGATCTTTGCTAATAACTGGGATACTACTGTTAGCTCTCACAAGGGCTGTGCTATCTTAAATTTGAAAATGTTTTGTCTTCAATCCAAGTCTGTTCACCTATTAAATTAATGAGAATACAAAATAATTAGATGATTTTAGAACATAACTCAGTGAGTAGACATTGTAATTTTGAAATCTCTATAAATTATGAAATGCTCTATATAATGGGTAAGCAAGTAAAAATCAGCGGCGTCCGAATAAATAAAATCATCAACCAGTAAAGGTCCGGAGACATTTTTAATTATACATAATCCATTACTTTAAACAGAATTTAACACTGAAATAATATTAGGTTTTTATGCATGCATGTTATACATTAACTTTTTGAATAAAAAAAATAAATAAAAAAAAAAAGAACATTTTTCCATTTTAAAATCTTAAGTGTTTTTTGAAGTAGAGAACAACAATCGTTCAGTTTGGTATAAAGACAATTTCCTTATTCACATATTCTATAAAACACCTGAACTGACCTTTTTTCTGGTTTAATGAGAGCAGTAGGCTTTATGCTGCCCTGCAAGGCTTTAAACCTGGGTTTGAATGGAGACAAAGTCATTCTCAAGCACATATCAAGGAGCTCATTTTGAGCCAAACAGAGCCTGAACATGAATTCAGGAAAATAAGCTACAGGTGTCAGTCTGCTCATCAAATCAAATTTTAAATGTTTTAAATAATGTGTCTTTAAAGAAAAAAATAAAGAGATATTTCACAGCAGGCTTGTGACACTTGTTTGTGTCCATCTAACCACGTCTTAAAGTCGTACATTTAGCAAAACGATTTTTTTATCTTGTTTTGCGATTGCTATACACTACAAAAAAATATAAAAAAAAAAAAGTATTTTTTTCTTAAAATAAGTGCATTTGTACTTGGATTGAAGAGGTAAAAGAGACATTTTGCCAGTGGAACAAGACAATTTACACTTAAAATATGAAAACACAATTTCATTGTCTTATTTCAAGTGCATATTATCTAATTATCTCATTTTAAGAGTAAAAATACTCATTCCATTGGCAAACTATCTCATTTACCTACTCAAATTAAGGGTGAATACACTTAATTTAAGAAATTTTAACTTATTTCTAGATCGTTTTTGCAGTATACCAAGCAAGATCTTCTTCTGTTAGATAATTCTTTCTTTCTTTTTTTGAGAAGATTTTACTAAGAATAAGTCCAATACTCTTTATAAGGCTTCATGAAATCATGATAAAACCAAAGGTCTAACCTAGAGTAATTGTCCTACTGCATTATTCCCTAACTTTGAGTAGAATCTTCTCTGAACAGGATTTGTAATCTGAAAGAAAACATTTGTAACAGGCATAATCTGCAGCTTTTAGTTCTGAAAGCTGAAATAGGGGCAATGATCCATGAAGCAACTCAAAGGTCCTAGCTTTTTAGCTTAGGCTGATAGGCATAAATTAAAAAATAAAATAAAAAAATTGGTCACTTTTACCAATTTCTTGGCTTACAAACCTAACCAGGTGTGTGGGTTCAGATCCATCAGGTGGTGGGTTGGCAAAAGATCCCAAACTGGGTGTTTTGAATCCATTGGTTTTAGCAGCGCTGATACGTTTAAAATTAATTAAATCTTGGTGATAGTTAAGTGAGGAAGTTTAGCAAGCAAGCAAATGGCTGCTAAGGACATTTCATGACAACACCATGAGATACTTCTACAGAGGGCCAGGCAAAGAGGGTTGATCCCAATAAAGCCCAAATTTCCAGAAGGCAGACACTGTGGAATACACTAGAGCCCAGCTCAGTTTGCAAAGCCCTGTGGTAAATTCCCCAGTCAGATAGAAAATCCTATTTAATTTTACAAGACCTTCCAGGCCTCTAAAAATCCTCCATGATGTCTTGGTTTGCTGGTGGGAGAACAGGAAGAAGCGGCAGAGCAGAACGCCGGCTGAACACTTGGTGGGAACTTTGATTTTTTTTAAGCAATAGTAAGAGAAAAGGGCAGCAGGAAGGTTATAATGGTCTGATTGCAGATGTGACACTATTATAATATCGCTTTTTTTTTTTTTTTTTTTATGGAGGCTTTTCATTTCTGCCTGATGACTGGTTTAAATAAATCTGCTTAGCGGGTGGTGGGGTTGTCTTATATTGCCTTTGAATAAACTTTATTTTCACAAAGACACAGTAAAAAATCTAACCTGCTTTAACCTCCTATGATGATATGCTAACAATATTAGCCAAAAGGAGAAGAAATCAGATTTCCTAAAACAAACAAAAAAATCAACTGACATGGAGTTTACTTTAATTATTTTTTACTCTATCATCAGTGAAAGATTTTAAGTGACCAATACACCAACAGTCATGTGATTGGACTGTGAAAGGAAGCTGGAGTACCCAGAGATAGTCAGCACATGCACGGAGACCACCTGCAAAATCCAACAACGTCCACATGGTAGAATCCTATTATAATCCCCCACATTTTGCTTAATTTCATTATTATTTACTGTAAAAATAAAGTTATATTTCTGAGTAAGTCCTTTAATTTAAGACAATTCTTTGCTGTAGTTGTTTAACGGAGAAAAGGTTCCTTTTTAAATGCTCCTTACTGTGCAAACCAACAGGAAGACCAATGCTTTGAAAGTTATCCTTTAAGTCCTCTTTAATTTCATTTTTCTTCTGTTTAAAGTCTATTTCATAGGGTGTGTGAAGGAGTGCTGGAGATATGTGACTTATCGGTATTTCACCCTGCTGCTCAGCTGGCTGAGGTCTACTACCTTCTCCTTGTCGCTCACAATAGAGACAAATTGAGCTGTTTGGAAATATTTCGGATTGTGTAACACAGTCATGGTCTGGAAACTACAAGGGCGCCAATAAGAACTATAGCAATATTTCCAAAGCTAACGATGGGAAGCTAAACTAAATTTGTTTGGGTTTGAAATGAATCCAGTATTAAATCCAGTATTACATCCAGTATTAAATGCTGTCCTCTGGAGATAAGCTTCAAACATCTTTTTGAGCTTCTTCATTTGAGTGACAAGTGCTGCTTTATAACTGCACAGCAAAAGAACATCCATTTTATTTCCCTTATTCTTGCTTTCCCTGAATCCACCCCTGCAGACTTGCATGTCGAGAGCAGACTCTGGCTCTGCTGCTCTTCTCTGTGGGATGATGAATACATTTCAATCTCCCGTCTCTGGCTCTGACTTCAGGGAGAGGCGCTGGGAGCCAGGATATCAGTCTTATAGCTTATCCAGAGAGATCCATCATACACAAGCCCTCCTCCAACACACACACACACACACACTCCTTAATCACTTTCACTTCGCTTCACCGAAGCAAAATGACCAGGATGACTTCTTTCTCTTTAGAACAGTAGTGGTGGGAGAAAAAAAGTCCCTAAAATATCCTTGTTTAATCCAAATAACGTTACGAATAACTGACATGATAAATGGCCTAAATGAGACGTGCATAACGAGGGAAAAATGTTTGCGCTAGGACTGATGTTTTGAAAATCCTCCAGGAAAAAACGGTTGTGTGTCCAGTTATAACAGCAGCGGGGGTGCAGCTCTCACCACAGAGACGCGGCTGTGCAAGATGTGCATTTAATAAAACTGAAGGCTGAGCTGACTAACAGAGTGAGGCTGACCTGATTTTCTGCTGATCAGCTGCATCTGGGGCTCTGAAGCTTTTATCGTACAGAAAAAAAAAGTTTTTGGGTGCAGTTTTGTTGTTATGTAGCCAAAAAAGCATGCATGATAACAATAGGACCGTCATGGGATTCAACACCGAAGCCAAAACGCATAAAATCCCTCTTGATAAAACAGTCATTCAGCTACAAAACTCCTGATCTGGGTTTAGAAACTTCGAGCATCATTAAAACCAAGAGTTTGATTTATGTCTGTTGACAAACAGCTCTTATAGACTTATTTGTGCATAAGGAAAGCACCTGTATCTCTTGTTGTCCACAGGCACGATGTCCATAGCAATGTAATACTGTTGATGGGGGTCCAGGCCTGCAATCTTTACTCTCATGGCTGGAAACATCCTCCTGGGTGACACACAAAAAAAAAAAACAGCAAATGCGTCAGATGCAGTGGTAATCACTGACCTTTAAAAAAAATCCAACCAGAGGTGTCAACATATTTCCGTTTATAACCTAAGTAGAAGTGTAGACACTACTGATAAAAAACGCTTTGGCTGAAGTTGAAGTATGAATTTAAGCTTTTTACACATGCTAAATTGTGCATGTATTGGTATCAGAACTACCTCAAGTATAAAAGTCAAAATAATGTTAGAATAAAAAAATGCGAACATATTAAAGAACCTCATTGGTATCACTGAGTATTAGGATGTGCTTCGTTCTTTAAAACATGGTTATGTATTCTAATGATGAAACAACTTGAAAGGAATGTAAACAGAACATTCTAGTGGAAGGTTCATGCTTTCAGGCTTAGCTGCAGGAATCTGAGTTTAAGATAGAAAGAAAAACTGGACAAGAACAGTTTGTCCATGGCTGACTTAGTAACAATTATTACTTATAAAGTTTTCTACACAATGGAATATTAATCAAAGCAATTAATCTGAAAATAAATAAGTAGCTAATAATCCTAGCTATGTTTAGTTTTAGCTTATTCATTTATTTATATTAATGAATCACAATATAGATCCTTCATGTAGCAAAGAAAACCGTGATTAAAAGAAGTAAAACGTACAATATTTGCCTCCTTTTATATAAAAAAAAAGTATTATTCAACTCAAGCTTATTCCACCTTTATACTAAATATGTATTTTTCTTGATTCATCAGCTAATGGCAACTATTTCCAGATCAACTTTACATCCAAACATCTTCAAACATTCTTCTAGAGACGTCCACTGATTTAAAGGTGTCTTTTCTTGGCTGCCGACCTCCTCGCATGTGCCTGGTTGGCCATAAGCGTTTAGTTCAAGTTCTGTTTAGTCGTTGCTATGGAAACCTTCATGCTAAGCTGCATATATATGCATACATTTTTCTTTATTTTGTTGTTCTTAACATTTTTGTTTTTTTTTGGCAACCAATAATTTGTACCACTTCCACTTCCAACCAGAATCAAATTGCCAGTGTTGATGGTGTTTTTTTTCTTTTTGTGAAAACTGACAAACCATGACAAAAAAAATTAGCTGAGGTGAAATGGAAGTAACAAGTCTATTTTTAAACTATAAGGAGTAAAACAAAAATGGTAATTGCATAAAAATGTAAGAAGCAGAAGTAAAACAAAATTATTACCCCAATAAAGTTTAGATATGAATAATATCTACTTAATGTAACAAAGTATAGTATATATAATCAATCTGAATTTGTAAACCATGTATTGCACATAAAAAATATCTTATCTGAAACATTAAATAAAAAATTTAATGAAATGCATTAAAGGGCTAAAATCTTAGGAGGTGTTTTTCTTTCCTCACTCAGGTTCCTTTACTCCTCCAAAACAACAACAAACTAAAATTTTTTACTAAACCAATCTTTGTATTTGTTGTTTTTATTTCTAGAAATGCATTTGTTCATTAATAAAATAAATTACAGGTAGATCTGTTCCAAAGCAGCATCTTTATTAGTGATAAAACCAGCTGCAAAACATATATACTTTCTAAAGGGATTTAAATTTAGGCTACAAAAACTCCTACAGCATCAGGACTGCATGAACCTGCACTTTCCACTGATTAATGTGTTGGATAAAATCAGTAGTTTTTATTTATCTTTATTTAATTCATACATGGACATGTTATATGGCTTATGTGTGCACATCCATGAATTTAAATATTTAAATGTGAGTTTTTTCTATATGTTTGTTTGCTTATCATTTTGTTTGTAGACTTTCTGAAATTATTACATAGATTCCGTCAATCGGCTCAGAAAAGTGGCCACTGTTCACTACAGGGCACTTTAAAGATAACAGTTGTGTGAATTTAATATATGAGAAGAAAAATCCCTGGATTGCTTTTCTTTTAAGTTTAACATTGTTCAATTATCGTTAAGCAGCTTTCTGATTCATCTTTTTTTTTTATTAAAAAGGGACAGAATCTCCTCTTTGTGTAACAGAGAGCAGTCGGAGTTACAGAGATCTGCAGTTTAACACAATTTACTTAAAATGCAGATTAGCCTTTTCTATTCATTGTGTATGATTAGCATGAGCAGCACAGTTGGTGCGGTTAGCGTCAGGCATGTAGAGCAGGAGGATAGATCCAATGCTCAAGAGAATGATGTTAATGCTAAACCTCACCTTTCCAAAATACTGGAAACACTTCCTAACACACAAATGTCAAAACTAAACAACTTTTCTGTTATTTCAGCTTCCTGAAAGCCTTCATAATTCAGCCCTTCTCTCTATAAACTTCTTGCACTTTTTTGCCTCTTCTAATTTAATGCAGAAACTCGGCTCATGGAAATTCCTTCCTTTGAGTCTTCCTCTCTAAGTAACACTCTCCACTGCAAAGTGTGTAATTAGTGTGACCTGGAACACTGACTTACAATTTTCTTTTAACAGCTACATTTATTAATTACACCAAAACGCAACAAATAATAAGATTTCAAAGTATCTTATGATTGCATTTTTTTCCTGCTTACATCTGATTGTGGAGACATAGGTGGGTATATAAGGTGAAAAAATACCATCCTTTAGCCTCTCCATTAGAGATATGAACTCATATTCTCAGATATGTTATTTCACAATGATAATTAGGATTATAATTGCAGCCCAACCGGTTTTCTGTGAGTTGCATCTATTTCAAAGCAGCATTTTGTTTGTCTTAGAAAAAATTGCAAAGACAAAATCGATTTATAGGCTAAAAAAGGATATAGAAGAGGTTCAAGAAGAGCAAAATATTGGCCTTTTTTTAGACTGCAAATACTTAATGCACACCTTTTGTTATATTAAACCTTTAATGACACAACACTACAACAAGAACAACAGGTGAAAATAGTTATCTAAAAGGAAAATGTGTTCTTATTTTAGGATTATGCTTCTGTATGTGATCAATGCAGACTAAAAAAACATGCCTATAAATCAGGCTTGATTGCAGTAGCCTGATCACACACACATTTTAGGAAAAAAACGTGTTTCTTCACAATATACATATCTTAAAAAAATTTTAACAAAACACTTAATTACCCCAATCATTAGTACATCTGCTGTGATTTCTTTGCACAGCTCATTTTTCACCAGCGGGACACTATTTAACTACCCTGACAACTTATTTTACAGGGTTGGTTCCCAGTGAAAGGGATCATTCTCTGCTGAATCTCTTAGGGTCATCCTGGATTTCGATTTTATGCTCTCTCTTCTCTAACTCGGCCTACAGGAGTCAGTGAACGCTCAGAAAGTATGAAGATTTTCTGTCTGGTGAAGCAGACACTGTCTATTTTATTCTTTTAATGTCTGGAGGATTTTCTCATTGAAAAAAAAATCCAGAGGTGAGTGATTTTAAGTGAGGCCACTGGATTTGTACTCAAAATCTTCTGCTCTTTTAAAAAAAAAATCCATGATTGTATAAACAGTACCAAAACTAGAATAAAAGAAGAATAGATTAGATCTATGACTGTTTTATGGTTTTCATTTAATTGTTTCTCATTTTGTTTTACCCAACATACAGTATAGGGACCAAAAAAAAAAAAAAAACATAAAAATTCTCCTAATTAAAGCTTCACTGGTGATAATAGATTCCTTCTTGGACCCCATAATGATTAGGGGCCGATATGAATATAAACAAAGAAAATAAAAAATCACAAATATAAACATGTAGTATATCAGAAACATGTAGTATATCAGTGATAAGCTAATTTCCCTTTGGAAGTTATTCTTTGAATGTTATAGAAAATTTCAGGCAATAACAAATGAATTTCATTACTCCCTGCCCACCCCTTTTTACAAAATGTCTTCTTTTTTTATTGATCATTAATATGCATTCAAATATAAACATTTATTGCTGCTTGCTTTGCATACAATTTGAAAGCAGCTTTAAACCTAAAGGGATGATAGGAAGTAATTATTCTCTATAAGATGTTAAAGGAAATAAAAGACTAACCATATCTGAGCATGCTCACCCAGTTGTGATGGAAATAATACTTTAAAAGATTAAAAATAAAATATTTAGTGGGTAGCTGGCTATTAAATAATTTATGCAATGTTATTTCAGTGATTATCAAGCAAACAGCTTTGGCATTTTTCATGAGTTCCCTATAAAAAATGAAGCACTAACACAAAGGGAGCTTAGCGGCCCTGCAGAGGCTGGATTTAACTGCTGGGCCCCCTGCACCCTGCTTCAGGTCCTATATATGCTTGACGCGCCTCTGATTAACATTTTAGCATATTTTAAATGTCTTTAAACATGGATCTGTTCAGTATTATCGACTGGATACTTTTTGCTGCTCGTAAAAACACGGTAATGATTTAATGCCATCAAAAAACTTCTCTTCTAAAAGCGAACATTTCTTTTTATATAATAAACTAACTTCAAACAAAACGGTTGATCTTAGCTCAGTGTTTGCGCTGGAAACGCTGTTTTTACTCCTTTTCATTTAAAGCTCGTAAATCGCGGCAGAGAAAGCCTCTCTCTCTGTTTCTCCTCTCCAGGATTTATGGACTCATTAGGAGCAGGCCGTGAAATGCGCACAGCGACGGTCAGCACAAACTGATTGCCGCGCTATTTATGGCCTGATTACCAATTTAATCCTAATTTATACCAGCAGCCGAGGGCAGCTTGGATATAGAAGCGTAATTTAATCCTGACGGGCTGCAGAGGAGAGGAAGGAACAGCTTTGGTTTGGTTTGCAGAGATAAAAAAATACACCGAACTGTTGGCAAAAACTTTTAAAAAGGATTTATTTAGAGCTGCAAATTCTATGTGATCATTACAAAGACAGGAAACCTAAACCATAGTTTGTTTGCAAGTTTAGAAATATTATTTCTGAATTATTTTTGGTGTTTTTCAAGGAATGAGGCCCATAAAAAAACGAGGCGCTATAACAAACTAGAGAAATGATGAGTTAATTTCAAATATCAAACTTAGGAATATATAGGGTAACATTTTTCTAATAGGGAAAAATTGTAATACATTCAGAAACTGACCTATAAGAGATGAGTTTTGACTCTAACATTTATTTATTTGTTTGCTTTATTTTATGAACATATTTTTTTGTCAGAACATTTTTTTGTCGTTTTATCAATAATATTTTTTTTTTCCATGAACAAAAATTTTTATATATTATGAAAAAAAAAACCAAAACATATCAGGAGTGATCAGTGCGCACAGGAGGAAGAAATGCTGGTGGAAAAGGCGCTATGCTGCGCTGCGCTGCGCGCACCAGGAGCGGAAGCTCCGCGGTGAAAGGTCCCTCCTCAAGGAGCCGCAGGTCAACTCCTGCTCTTGTTCGGGCTTTTTGGGGCGTGAGCCCAGTGGGGCGAGAACCACACACACACACACACACACACACACACACACA